TCCAAGAAGTTAAAAAAAATTTTTAAATATGACTGTGGAATTTATCATCTGACATAAAAATATGCTACGATGCTACAATAAATTTTAAAAATATGTTAATGGTGCACAGATCCACAAAAAGATCGAAAGAGTAGAAGGGAGACTCCATATAGGTCCACGTATTTTGGGGGATTTTAGAACTATAGAACAATAGAAATGTTTACTATGTCACTGGAGAAATTATAGACTACTTATTTAATATTTAGAGTTAAATCCCTACATCAAGTCATATACACATATACATTCAGATAGATCCCCAAACATAAATGTAAAAAACAAACAAAAAAATTAAAGAAAGAATAAAAAGTATTTGCATGTGTTGAGTGAAAGACCTTCCAAATATAATGTGATGTCCAGAGCATTGAAGGAAAAGACAATCAAATCAGCCTACATAAAAAGTGATGGAAAAAAATCATCACAAACAAAGCAAATATACTGGAAGGAAGAGTGTGTGTGTGTGTCTTACAAAACCTCAGTATTTACAGTATATGAATAATGCATAGTAAGATCTTACGGAAAATAAAATACTTTTTAAAAAATGAGTGTAGGTCATAAAGAGACCACTGGGAGAAATTGAATTTTGAACAGTCAATAAAACATATGAAAAGCTGTTCAAGTCTCATAAATAGTGTGAATAATGCACATAAAAATTTTAAAATCTGTTATTCTTTATACATAAAATTTGCAAAAATTAAAAGTTTATTAATATCATGACATTGGTTTTAGCAATGGTGTTGAGAAAAGTTCAGATTCATATATGGAATATTGCTGATCACTTAAAAAATGTAGGCTTCATGAAGGTGTTCTGAAAGTACTTATTCATGGTTACCATAAATTTATAGTAATCAAGAAAAAAATAAAAAGAATGAAAATATAAACTATCAATTTTTACCAGTACCAGTCTCTTTTAAAACAAGACTTTGAAGTGTTTGCTAAAACTTGTTTACACACACACACACACGCACACATGCTCACTTTTGGGTGCACATGAATGCCTATTCAGATGTGTGCATGTGTGTGTGTGATACACACAGACTCATATGCTGGTTAAGATTTATAAACAGGATTTCAATTCAAAATTGAAGCCTATTAGGGATAACTCAATGTGATATTTTGCTAAAGCTTTATCAGAAAAAAAATGCCATAATCAACTTTTTTGAGGAAAAGATGAGATTATTAATGAATAAAATTATAAGCATGCTCATCCTAAACATTCTGTTTTGCGTGAAAGAATATATGCTAAAGATGGTATCTTACACTCACTTCTCAAAATCAAATAGATCAGATGAACATGAGCACGTGTTTTGTTTAGGAATGTTTACCTCTTTAATGGCAAAAATGTAATCTGTACTTTTACAGTTATTTGCATTTTTCCAAACATTGACCTACTTTATTGTGCTTGCCATCATGTACTTTTCTGTACAGTATTTTATGCTAGAAATGATAAATTGCCAGAAAGCATGTAAACTGTTGCATAATGCTATCATATTCTGTTCTGACTACTAAAATTCAAATTCAGAAATCTCATTATGTTTTACCTATAGATGAAATCATCACAGTCATTTAACTTTTAAATTATTTAACTTTCTTAAGGAATTAAAAATCTATCCATTTTGTATTGGCCAAGGGGTTAGAAAATCATGTGTGTCTAACTATAAATAACTTAGTCTGCATTTGAAATTTAAATTTGTAATCATAATTAGTATTCCAACCATGTTCATAGATTACAGAAAAGTATTACCTTTGCAATTAAAAAAAGTAATAAAATCATACTGAAAATTACCTTCCTTTGGAATGGACTTCAGTTAACATTGACTTTTCTGAGTAATATTCTTCTGATTTCTAATACAACATATTTCCTGCCCTTTACAGGGATAGAAATATTCCTATATTTTCAGTATCTGTGAATATGCTTTCAAGACATCCTGCTACCACATGGCTAACTCCTTCATTTGGTTCATTGATAATAGGGTTATAACTAAAATATCCATAGTTTGATTTGTGCATTTTTCTCTCCTTTGCCTACTATTTCAGAGATAAAAATCAATGTGCCATAATCAGCCTAGGGAAAAATCTTAACTGTTATTTTCCAAAGAGTGGGGAAGTCTCAGTCAGTGTCATTTAATGTTTGTGTCAAAACTTAGAAGATAAAATAGATTGCATGCTCGTTAACGGATAACTAGCTGGCAACTGTTATAAGAGTAAATGCTATAATATACGTGGCAGAGTAATCCTTAAGGGTAGAAAATCAATTCTTTATAAACAGTATGGATTTCAAAGGAATAAATACAAATTGTCCAGGTAAAAACAGAATAGACATATAATATGTTTCACATCTTTTGGAAATAATATATATTTATTATCTGGAAGGGATTTTAGTAATTGTCTACTTCAATATTGTAGTTGTTTTTCAGATGAGTAAATTGAAACAGAGATGTGATATCTCTCAAGTTAATTACTTTAGAATTCACAGTAGTCATTAAATTAAGGTGGTAAGAATAAATTTGTTCCATCTTCGTAATACTGACATATCAAAATTACAAAAAGATTTAAAAAGCAAACTTCAATAGTTGCTTTCATCAGTGTAGCCCTAAAGTATTTTTTAAATAATGTATTGGCTGGAATTCGGCTTAGAGCAAAGTGTTAAAACTCATGGCTCAGAGGTTCCAACCTTATAATCATGACATTTAGTCAACTATGATGGGCTTCTCAGTAGAAAATGTACTCCTACTGTTACCTGCATTTCTTCCTAGTGAATGGTGTTAGTCACAATTGGTCTAAGAAGAGAAGGGAAAAAAGCACAAAGTCTAGATGATACAACACAAGTCATTACTATCATTAAAGAATAAATGAAGTTTTATACCCTAACCAAAAAAGGTTAATAACTTTGCCACTGTTTATGAAAAGATGCTATAACATATTAATGAAGTGAACGATAGGATACATAAAAATAAATATAAATAAATATACATATACAAATAAAATATGTATGTATATATATTTCTGTGTATAAGACTAAAAACTTAGTTATGAAATATTAAACAAATTTGGCTTTGGCTTACAATAAATCTGTTCGCTAGAAGACATTGATTGTATATCAATATCCCAAAGACAAAGCTACATAAAATTAAATCATATTCACTGAAAAATTATATCAAAATTAATTAAAGATGTGAGTATTTTTAGCAACTATAAAATTCAGACATCTGAGTTGCAAATAATTTTTAATGTGATGATATGCAGCAGAGAAGAACATGTTGGAAATTGTCATCATCATCAACATTATAACCATCATCCACAGCATTATCATACTGTTAATAGCAAGCACCTAAATATTACTGGCTATATGCCAAGAAATGTTAAACACAAATATATGCATTATATATTAGTTATATGTAATTATACACAATTAATTACAACATATAATTAATATATTAATATACATTTAATCCTCACTGAAACCTCATTAAATAGAAAGGAAAGAGAAGCTAAGAGGCTAGTAAGCAAGAGGAATGAGCTTCCAACTTAGGCAGTGAAACTCCACAGCACAGTATATATTCTTTATTATTTCATTAACAATAGATAAAATAGTACTATAGGAGCAATGTTTTTACAAAGGACACTTCTGTTTTAGAGCTTAAGAAAGTTAATGTTAGCCAAGACACTGAGTCAGTACTTTGGTCTGACAGAGAGGAAGGAGACTGTATGTGAGAGAAAGAGGACAGAGTGATCTGTTAAATTTCTTGGCTCTGTCCTAGAAGTGTTCTTTGTTTCTTTTTTTTGTGTGTGTGGCTGTCCAGCACAGGGATCCGAACCCATGATGTTGGTTTTACAAGGCTGCTCTCTAACCAGCTGAGCTAACCAGCCAGTCCATAGAAGTGTTCTTAATAGAAATAAAGCTATTATACAACACTATATTTGGGGGAGGAAAAGTTGAAGAAACAACTCTGGTATATATAGATTTTTACTCACAGTTAATTTAATCTAAACCTGAACTCGAAAGCTAATATAGTTTCTTTTTAAAACCATCTTATTGTTATCTACAACTGATAAAATTAAAATATGTTCCAGATTTGCATTAAATGCTGTTCATGTACTTTAAGTCTTTATGGTAGATGCCAGTGTATAAAAAGTAGTGAAGACTTTCAGATAGGTACCTCTGATTCTTTTAAAATACAAAGCTTCAATTACATCCTGCTGTGATAGCACTTGACTTTTTGGTTGTATAGGAATAGGCCAGGCCCCATAAAAATAAGTATTTATATGTCATTTTCCTCCCAGGTTACTTCAAAGTATAAAATACACAACAGCTTGACATGCCTTAAAACAAAAACGGATAGTCTACAACAACAAATCTAAACAAATGTTCTAGTTTATTTTTTCTCAAAAGGAATAACCATGATAATCAAGATGTCCATCAAATACAAGTAAGCAATATTGCTCTGTTTTGGATGGTCCCTAAAATAGAGTTATCAGAAGTCAGAAGAAATGGTTACACTACTAAGCTGATCTTTTGTCCTAGAATAGAAGTATATTTTCAATACTCTTCAAAATAAAACAATTTTCCCTGTATTACATTATTTTCTAATGTAAAAATAAAGTGAAGTTTCCTAATGTCATCTCATGATGAAAAGGCTTATGTTTGTAATATGTTGCAAAGCACTATAAAATATAGAATACTCTAGAAATTTTAGGCATCATTCATTACTATTCTTATAAAACTAAGGCAAATGCAATACAACAAAAACATAAAATCATGCAATTAAAATAAATTATATATAGCTATGAGAATAAGTGAGTAGGAAAACATTTTATCTCTATACAGGGAGAATATTGGGAGCAATAAGTGAACATATTAACTATCTTCTATGATCAGATGTTGTGATAGACAGATTTTTTTTTTTTTAAAGTAAAGGGGTTGGAAGGTGTGGGCCTTCAAATATTCAATGTTATTTACTTACAATCAAGCCACTGTTTGCTTGCCTTTTTTCTCTGCCATGGATCCTTTTATAGAAAATTCCTCCTGGATTAAACTGGGTACTCCAAATAATCATATCTCTTTGATAATATACATCCATCCCTGTTATCCTTGAATTATGTTCAATGTGAGAAATTTGTTGATGATCGCCACTGTAGTTGAATGGATATATAAAACCCAGGATATCAGTGTCATTAGCAATGTAGAGAACTTGATCTTCAGAGCCTGGAGATTATTATAATAAAATACAAAAATAAAATAAATTTCAACTAATATAAAAACAATGATTGTACTTTTAAATTATCATGAATTGTTATGCTACATACAGTTTCTTCCTCAGTAAAAATCAACTAATTTCGTATCACCTTTTTGTCCTCATGACTTATGATTTCCAATACCCACATATGTAAACATTTACCATGGTTATTGATAAAGGTTTTTCTAGTGCAAAAACCTAGAAATCAGGCATTTGTAAAACCTTATGTTTAGAAATTAGGTATTTGTAGAAGATGTTCCTTTTATAAAGGACAACTATTATTTGGTAAGTCACGATACACTATGTTTAAGCCCTTTGTATCTCAAGGGCTTGTATCTCATTAAGCCCCAAAAGTTTCTGAGAATCTAATTTATGTACCTGAGTAATCACAACTTCTGGCTAAAAAATGAAAATTTAAGATATAAAGAGTCTTTTTACTCCTGTATTCATATATCATAAATGTTTGTTTTTATTTTTACTGTACAAAGATATCAGTATTTACTACATTAAAATTCCATGATCTCTAAATTATCTAGAGTCTTGCTAAGTGGAACACTATAGCCTAAAGTTTTGACACCCGCAATACAGTACTAATGTCTTTTATACTGATGAATAAAACCCTAAAGTGAATTCTAAAAATATTAATTAAAATATTAATGAAATCCTAAAGAGACCATGAATTGCATATATAGTTTCTTCAAATAAATAAATAATAATAATAATACACAATAGGTACAGTTCAGCTCTCATTCAGTGAATGTTTACTATGTGTCAGGCACTACATAAAGACTCACAACTTTTCTCACTTCTTACAAAAGCCATGGAAGGTAGCTATTAGTATCCCCATTTTACAGATGAGGAACTGAGGCTCATAGTTTTAATTCCTTAAGGCTACAGAGTCTGAAAGGTGCAGTGGTAGGATTCAAATCCAAGTACATCTAATGCCATAGCTCACAATTGAACCACTACATCATGCTGTTTTCCCCTTGCAATAATAATCTTAACAACATCCAATCATACCCTAGATTGAAGTTTTAGTATTATTTAGTAAAAACACAAGCACTAAAATCCATATGTACAGAAGCCCAAAACCCATATCTGTCATTTAACTTTTTAAAAAAATGATATTAGTAAGTGGAGGTCTGAATTCAGAAGCATGATTTCGTTTTAAAACATTTAAAATCCTTACTCAAAAGTTCATTCTCCTCATAACGCTAACCATTATCCTTTTATTTTTATCCCAGCAATGTAATAATTTCTCCTATACACTGAAAGCAGACCATAAAGAAAGATACTTTGTATTCTGACTATCACACTTTAAAATTTTTACCTCTCTTGACAAATTGTTTGAAACACAGTAACCATGTATTTTATTGTCATTAAACGTCCCAGATTAGATTAAGAATGATAACAAACGAGCTGGCCAAATTAATCAGCATTACAAAGATATTTATTCTATATTATCACAAATGAAGGTATTGCTAAAATGCAGTATGAAGTATTTTTCCCCATAGTGTTTAAAACGAAATTGTAACAGCATTTGCGATAATGATTATAACCTTACCTTTTGCTATACAGGTGCTATTTCTTTCTTGAAAATTCTGGTCACACACACATTTATACGATCCTTCCATATTTATACATTGTTGGGAACATGTGCCAAACACCAAACATTCATTAAGGTCTAGAAAAGAGGAATTCAAAATAGCATCATCATACTCTCAGTTCACACTTCATTCTTTCCACGTTTAAAAGCCAAAACTCATTTTTCTTCCTTTCACTTTTTGTTTCTATTTTTTCATTGTACTTTCAAATTTTAAGTGTGTGACTTACTGTATGACATTTTTTGGCCATAACATTTTTTTCACAATGGTTTCACTATAAAAATGTATCAATTATTTTACATTCCTTTTTGTTAATCCACTTAAAATATTAAAATATCTGTTTCAAACTTTACTAGTATTTTCATTCATGCAAATAAACCTCTTGAGGTTTTCTTTTAAGTTTGTTTCTGATTTCCTACCTCCATAACTTTGCAATGGTATATACACTATTCCTTTGTCCTATGATGTCAACTTTTATGTACAGAATTTCTATTCATTTTTCAAAATCCACCTAAAGTAAAGCGTTTCTTGGTTTACACCAATGTATGGGAACAATGATCCATCCCTTAGTTTCTCTACTCTTTGCGCTTCTGGTGTTTCTCTCTAACAACATTGCTCATACTATATTTCACAACTGTGGCTGTGTATTTGTATCCCCTACTTGATTGTCAGTCCCATGAGGGCAGAAATCATAATGTATTCCTTTTTTATTGCCATGTTTTGCACAATGGCTGGCAGAGAATGAAGAAATGAGTGCACCTCTAACACATTTCTGGGGTCATGTATAGTGTATAAAGTGATTATGTAACAAGAAAAGCTGTATTGAAACTATGAATTAACAAATTAAAAAAAACTGTGTGCCTATATATAAATAAATACATCTAAATTACAAGCAATAAATAAACAAATCACAGGCAATATTCTGTATCGTGGTGCATGATTTTAAGAGCATAAGCAGAGGAAGAACTGAGGTCAGGTGATTCTGGTGAATTATCTACTTTCTCTTTTCCTCCTCTACTTTTGCATTTAATCAGCCTAATTCTGCTCCTTTTATCACTTATAATTATCTTAATTACGTAATAAATCTGTGAGGTAAATCCTTCTCTTGAATTAGAGAACTTAAGAATCAGCACAGCAATAATAGCCACCTTTTTTTAGGATTCGACAATGTTCTAAGGGTTCAATGGCAGAGGTAAGGACTTTCCCAGTGACACTTGCAAATGATAACGCCAATACTTAAACCCAGCTTTTCTGATTCTGTCATCTCCACTATGATACCCTGCACAAGGAGAACTTAAGCATTCTCAGGACAACTCATTTCTGTGTTTCATTAGGATGTATAGTAAAGAGATACAGAAAAGGGTATTTACTTGTTTTTAATGAATATTATACAGGGATGAAGTAAAATTTGTCTCATCAGCACCTAACCATCAGAATTACAACAAATATTTCTGGTTTGTTTAGCACCTGTAACTTTGAACAAGGAGTTATTTGTTACTACGGTTTCCTTTTGGTATGAAATAAAAATAAGCAAAAATCTGCATGATTTGGTAAAATCTCAGCTCACTCACATAGCCCCTAATGGACAGAATCAACATGTTCTCTTCATGTCTAGAATTAGACCTGGATTGTGAGCTTTTGAAGAGGATGGAGGAATCCCACACATGACCAGTACCCAGACCAGTGCCTGGCACTCAGCAACAGTTAATCCCTTTCTAATTCTCTTCTGCCTTTCCCTTTGATTTTTCTTCCCTTCAGATGATATAATTGAAGTGTTCGATCTTTAACAGCAAATAGCTATTTCTTAGGCTTCTTTTGACATGCATAAATGAAGGGCACAAATTTAAATTCTTTGGACTACAAAATCAAGGTAACGTCTTTCCCCTCCACTATATCAAGTCAAAACTGTTTTCCTTACTATCAAAATTTCATTTATTAAATAAAAGTGCAAATTGTATTAGAGGTCAGAGGCTACTCACTCGCACAACAAAAGTATATAAAAAGAGTGGATTTATAGCAATTTAAAATGAAGAAGCTAGGTGGCAGGTTGTATGTGCTGTGAAATATAATTAAAAATAAAGAAACTTTGGACAATAGAATTTCTAGATTTGGTAAGAATATACAGAAAACAAAGCTTACTATTTACAAATAAATATTAGGAAGTCAATGCTATTGGAATGAAAATCTTGAAGAAATTGTGTGTATGTGTATATTTATATACAATTGATAGAAATTGTCTGGGAAAAAGAAATACTGTAGTTTTGAGAAACAATTTATGTTTTATTAAAATAGAGAAAACACAAGTTATCATCTTTCAGTGTTCCATATTAATGGAGAATTAAAATGTCATGAATAATCCAAACAAGCACATAACTCAAAATGTACATAGATGTGATGTGGCTACACTTTTTCCTCCTTTGGTGAGTATAACTTAATTCAATAATTTCATTTTGATTGACACAACATAAGTAAAATTAATTTTCTTTTCCCAAGCATATCATAAAGAGACAGTACAGACATTGTCAGGTGAAAGCATTTTAGGACTTGAATTCACCCTGGATAAGCCAAACTTAGACATTTTAGGTTTGGCTCTAATAGCAATAATAGGTGAATACGAATATGAATATCAGTTTTATTGGACAAATTTTCAGAAAGTGTATATGAGTCTGTAATTCATGGTTTTATAGTTAAAGCTCTGATGTAAATTATATTGACTGACTTACTTTGAGAGTCTGACTATCCTACAAGCTCAATTTTTAAAGGATCTCAAGTAAGTTGACAGAGATTTATCTAGATCCTGATTTTGAATTTTTAAAGACACATTATGATAATATAAAGCACAGTTTAAAACATGGTGTTAGGATGAAAGCCTAAAATTCTCTAAAGGTGAGTTACCTATTGCAGTATTCAAACGCACACTCAAGAGAAATGGGTCATCATAAACATTCTTTCATGAAGTGAGTCTAATTCTTCAATAGTTCCTGAACCAGCAATTTTGTAATTTGCATTTCAAAACAGAATTGTAACAATACATTTGAAATTCCTGCAGGTCTGAATTTGCTATAGAAATGCTTTGTCACCTCAGTGATGGTTAGCTTAGTTGTACAAACAGACTCTTGACCCCAGAAACTTTCACTCTCATAAGTGAAATGGTATCCCGTAGATACACACCATTTTGATGAAAATCAATCCCTTGTCATTTCACAATTTAGCAGTCTTGGGAGTCTTTTTATAACCCACAGATTTAAGAGCAAGCTGTTGAAGAAATGTACTCTACCTTCACACTGTCTGTTTTCCATGTTTCTCTGAAATCCAGGCTTACAGCGACAGAAAACAGATGTTTTTATTTGATTACAATATGCATCATCTCCACATGGATTCACATTATCTTTGCAGGTATATTCAGTTGGAGCTAGGATTTAAAAAAATGATCAAAACTAATACCATTCTAATTCCTGAAGTGGGAGTTTACCTTTTTTAAAAAAATTTGAAGTGGTATTTATTATTCCATAGATAACTCTTTTTGAATGTATAAGATCATGATCTTGTTTTCATGATGTAAGCTCTCATTTCTTTTAAAGGTATATTAGCAGATAAAAATTGAATTCATTGACATTAAATCTAGTTTTGACCAAGCTGCCAACAGCTGATATTTACAGCTGTTGTCAAGCTCCACTACTTTCTAAAAGGAAGTCAAGAGGCAATGATTCTAATGACAAGCTGTCTTTATAACGGTACTGTACGTGAGTACTATAACCTTCTCTAAGAACCAAACATTTCCTATACGCTACCTGGAGATTTGGGCATTTATTGCTAGCCTAAATTAATATTCATGAACTCAGTCAAGGGCACTATCACATTACTTAGGCAGGTAGGCTAAATCAACAGTTTTTAAAAATTTTTAGTCTGGTCACACATATAAGGAGTAACATTTGAGTGTGTCACATGCTCTAATGGTCATGAGCTGAAACACCACTAGGACAAACTAAGAGTTACTTGTGAATTCCAGCATAGTAGTTTCAATTTCAGTGATTTATCTCCCATTCAAGAAAACATTTTAGTACTCAAATAAATGACAGGGGAATTACTACAGGGATAACATCGTGTTACCTCTAAATTATTTAAACAAATCAAATTTTTGAGAATTATGAGAAATTTAATTATTAGAATTGTAACCATTATTAATCCCCACTGATTCTTGAATATTTTACAATTAATTAAAATTCACCAGTGTAAAGATACTATGGTTGAGATATAAGTGGCCATATCCTGGTGGGCACTGTTTCATTCCCTAGTGAGGAACAACCTAGATACATAAATTAGAAAAAATAAAAGATCCAAAAGTAGGAAGTATTTTATGACTTTTGTAAGCAATATGAATTTAGGTAATAAATTTAATTATTTTTATTTAATACGGAAAATCAAATATCAAGCACTTAACAAGCAAGTATTGACAACTAGGATCTAATAACCCAAATATTACAGTACTCTAACTGAACAAAATTATAATGTCTTCTATAAGCATAACTCAGAAATGGATTAACTTTAAAAAAATTGAATTAATTAAAAGCCTTACCATCATTCAACCAAATATCACTTTTTGTAAAATTCAAGGATACTAAATTTATATTTTATAAAATAAAATATAAAGGTATATAGATTTCTTTGTTGACATCAAATTCTGTATTTAGATACAGAGTTCTTACCCTCATCTCTAACAAGGATACTTACTGCAAAATCAACTTTTTCCACCTCATATTTCTATTATTAACTAAATCATGTTCTTAGGTTGCTTTGCCAAAGGTTTAAAAAAGGTCATAACTTCAGCACGTTTTGAAGAGCAATCTTTCCACCCAGTAGTAAAGAAAATTTTAGTCACATTAAGCAGAAATTAGAACTTGTGTTGCTGCACTTTGTTTAGCAGAAAAGAAACTCACTTATTCTGCAGCCTTGCTCATCTGAACCATCACCACAGTCATCGAGTCTATCGCACTGGAGGTCCATGGGGATACATTTTTTATTACTGCAAGCAAACTCATCCTTTTTACAAGGCCTTGCTTTATATGTAAGCTTACCTATAGAGTCAGTAAAAATGATTAGTGCTTCACAGAATAAAAACAAATTTTCTGAACACAAAATATGTTCAAGATTTTGCTAAGTGCTATGAAAAACATGGGTCAACAATCCTTTATTTGAAGCTCTTGAGGATAAATGTTTTAAAATTATAAACTTTTTGGACTTTAGAAAAGTGACAGCGTATTTATCCTATAATTAATAACAACCTATTTCTATAGGAAAATGTGTGCATATTCACCCTAAGTGGGATTTTTTAAAAAAGTTATAGAAACGGCCTCAAATGAGTTCAGTTCAGGTTTTGTCTTCAAATGATTGTGCTGCATACTTACATAAAGCCTTTTGTATAAGGAGCATGTTGAATTTCAAAATTGTGAAAAAGGGTTCATGTACATACACAATCCATACAAAGCTTCACCCTTCAAGGAACTGTTTTAACATTTTTAAAGCACTATGTTATTTCTCTCATGTGATGAGTATTTTCTGGAATAAAGGCCTTAGTGGAAACTCTGGATAAAACCACACAACCCCATTATGCAAATGAAATATTAGTGGATTGTTCTTATACCCTGTCAGAAGTTCAGGTGCTTGAAAAAAATACCCTCAAACATGCCACAAGGGAAATATATATTGTTTTAATATTTTGAGCCCGAAAATCATTATATTATACCATAGTTGTCATTAAATCAATTATTTCACATAAACAGATTTACCACTACAGTGATCTTCATCTGAGTTGTCCCCACAGTTGTCAATCCCATTGCACATTTGCTCAGACTGCAGGCATATTCTGTTATTTCGGCATCGGTGAGGTCTTGTGGGTGGGCAAAGAAATTTGACTGAAAAAGAAAGAAAAACCAAACCAGCTCTTTTGGGTATGCTGACTTATTAGAACATCCTTTGTTTATTTTCTTTTTTTTCAAATCTATAATCTAGCTTTTCTAAATAATTTTTGTTGCAAAAATTGCCTAACAGTGAATAATTAGGCAATAGTAAATACTAGAAAAATGTGTGATAATAGAAGCTCATGATCCTAATTTATATTAACTACAGAAAACACCGCACAGCTGAGGATCTTGAATGAGGTAAAAAAGAGAGCCAAATTTCACGGCCTCATTTCCAAATGCCTTATCTTTGCTGACTTGCCTCAATATACCAAGTTAATTTGTGCCTATGATTTATACAACATGGTAGGACACTTAGCTATCTCCAAGAGCAATTTCACACAGCATAGAGCTTAAACAAGCATATGTTACAGACCAAAAATGAGAACAGGCCATTCAGTGGGAAAAAAAAAAAATCCAAATAATGTTATAGCTGGGTTTCTTACTCTCTATCTCTGTAAACAAATGTTTAGATTTGTATTTGAAGCACATAGGTGATCTTGGTTATTCATTTTCAGTGTGTGTGTGTGTGTGTGTGTCTGTGTGTGTGTGTGAATAAGACAAAGAGACAACAATGAAAGCCAGGGAATTTTACATTTGTCCCTTCTCTCACTATCTAATCTGAAGACTTCCACCTCTAAAACAGGAAACATCTCTCCTTAGTCTTCATCCTTACAGACTGAATTCTCCAGGGCTCTGTCCTTGGTCCCCTGAAGTCTCACTCTTGAATTCTTTGCTTAGGTATTCTCATTTATGCTCATTGATTTACTTGCTGCTATACCCTGAAGACTTTCAATTCTCTATCTAGTTCTAGCATCTCACAGTTGATTATAGGATACCCCCTCAGGAATTTTAAATTTAATATGTTTTTCAATTAATTCTTTATCGTCTTTCCCTTCTCCCCAAACATGAGCTTTGTCTTATTCCCAAGTTCAGAGAATGGCACATCATAGCCAGAAATCTGGGATTACTCTGAATGCATTCCTCTCATTGGCCAGCAACTCTGTGTAGTCCCCAAGTTCTACTGATATTGTCCCCAAACTTGCCCTCTTCTGATCCTCAAAAAGACATGAGAACAATCAAATACATTAATCTGATCATCTCTTCTGAAGTTTTCCATCGCCTTCAGAATACAATTCTGTGTTTGCATGGCCTAATAGACTGGTTGCTATCTTGCCCACGCCACTCCTACAGACTCATCCCTTGTCCCTCTTGATATTCTAGCAATACCATTTTGTTACAGCTCCTTAGATATGTCACTCTCCTTGTTTGACCTTCTTGCCTTAATTGAAATGTGGTTCTTTCTCCAAGAATACTCCCTTTTAGGAATGCCTCTTAATTTGCTCAGAACTCGTGTTATCTCATGTTTGAAGACAACCTAGTTTTCTATCACAGCTTCTAGAACTTTATTACTATATCTTCATACTTTATTTTTTTAAAACAAACTAAAAAATACTGTTATGTTGAGGGCCAGGCACTTGACTATACTTCTCTCTCATGGCTATTTTCTCATCAACCTCTTACACATCATCTGCTCCACAATTCACCAAAGACTGTAGAGCATAGTTTTCGTCATAGTTTTATTTCCTCTCCATTCAAATTTATTTCAGCTTCCTAGATGACTTCAACATTCACATGAGCAAATCAACCAGTAACTTGGCTTCTTAGCTACTTGATTTTCTTATAGCCAATGTCCTTTTACTTTAATACACCTAGGTCACCACTCTCCTGGAAGGTTGTGCACATTGGTGGATTTCAACAAACTTATTTTCTTGATTCATCCAGTGACAGTTTCTGCTGCTTGCAGATAGCAGCACTAACTGATACATATGGCTGTAGTCTGGATTTGCTCTTTTCTACAATTATCCATTTACAAAACCATCCATTTGAATGCCCCAAATTCTGACTGCAATCTCCTATCTCAAAATTTTTAACTCAGGGCCGGCCCGGTGGCGCACTGCTGCAGTGCGCCTGTTGGGAGTGCGGTGGCGCTCCCGCTGAGGGTTCGGATTCCACATACGGACCGGTTCCCACTCACTGGCTGAGCGAGGTGTGGGAGCAACACCGAGGGTTGCGATCCCGTTGCCGGTCCCGGTCCGGTACGGGTGCAACACTGAGGGTTGCGATCCGTTGCCAGACACGAAAAAAGACAAAAAAAAAAAAAAAAAATTTAACTCAACCACTCTCATTATAACTCTTCTTCAGCTTTATCTGAAACTGTAGCCCAGAACTATGTCTACTTTTTCTCTATTCACCAATGCCTTTTTTGTCTTCACTTTTCTCCTTATTGATATTGGTAACATAAAATATGTTGGACACTGTTGTAAGTACTCTTTTAGAAACTCATTTTTCCTTAGGATTCTCTGGCCCTTTTCTCTTTTTCATTTTAGTTAACAAAATTCTACTTAGATGAATGAAATCATCTGCCCTCCCAATATCTGCATTTGGAAAGACCAGGAATGTTGCAGATGATCATACTACAAGGCCAACTGATACCACCAAGTATAAACACTTGTCAATGCTACTTGTAAAGCCTAAAGTTATCTAGCAATGCCACTGTCCTATCATTTGCAATAATGATTCAAATGTGCATTCCTTCCAAACCTTTCTACAGAAAACTTCTACCTTCTACATATGAACATGATTCCTATCACACACACACAAAAAGTAGAAATAAAAAGATGAAACTTCCTTAACATCTTATTAAATAATTGCAGACCTACTTATATCTACATATAGACCATCAATTTATTTCAATAACTTTTTAACAACAGAGATATAGCATAACTTGCTCCTATTTAATCGCAATTTTTCGCCTATTCTGGAACTCATTTTCTCCTGCTTCCTCAGGAACCATTCCATCTTTCATGAAACATGTTTTCACTCTGGTGTTTCTATTGCCACACTCATTTTTTTTTTCATTAATTTTTCTGTGGTCATTCACCCAAGTCTCTTCTGGTGCCTCATATTTATTTAGATGTTGGATGTCACTCAATTTCTTTCCTCCTCCCCTTCTTGTCTTATGCTTTACTATCACCCAGCATAATCTTGAAAATTTCATAGTATTTATTTACCACATTTTTTGCTGACTGCCAAATTTATATCTGTAGACCACATCTTTCCTTTTTGCTCGAGAACCAAGCATCTAGTGTTTACTTGAAATTTCTACTTGAGTGTCTCCTCAAATGCATCTAAAACCAATCTTCTAATCTTTACTTCTAAAGCTGTTCCTCTTCCTGTGTTCCCCTACCATTAGAATGTGCAAGCAAAAACACACTACAAATTAAAAAACTTACTCTCTCACCCCTCCATATTCAATCCACTATTTAATCCAATTTATTTTTCCAACTATATCACCTTCAAGTTGTCTATATTTTTCTATCACATGCTGTCATTCTTATTCCAAGCTACTACCATAGCTTGCCTAGAGTACTGCAATAGTGTTAACTAGTCTTGCCCCTTTCTCTCCAATACTTGAAAAATGTAAGTATGACCATTTGCCTTCTCTGCTTAAAATTTTTTAGTATTTTCAATTGTATTCAGGCTAAATCTAAAATCTCTACCAAGAGTCACATCATTCCAGGTGTCTCTGCTATCTCTTTTGTTTCATCCTAAACCAATACCTACCTTGATTTGTACTCTCTGGGGACATGAATCTTTCAATTCCTCAGGGCCTTTACACATCTTATTTCTTTTATCTATAACATTGTGTCACCCCTTTATTCTCAATACCTTTCACTTACCTGGTGACTACATGTTTCTCAGACCCAAACTCTAATGTTATTTCTCATATCTATTTTGAATAAAAGCTCTCTGGCTGAATACTTTTATAAATTACTTTACTTTTTCCTCATAGCATATATCATAATTTTTAATCATATATTTTTATGATCATTAATATCCATCTTCCACTAGATTCTAACCTCTGTAAGATAAAAGACCAAGTCTGTTTCTCTCATCATTGCCTCTAGTTTAATAAATATTTACTGAATAAATAATATTTTTCCCCATGTTATTCACTTTGTCTACAGTGGATTTTAGTCAAGATCTTTCAGAACTGTAGCTTTCTGAATTCACCTTTAGGCAGAGTTTATTTTATCCCTCTCTGCCTTGTCTGTACCTTTTACTAAATTCTATCATTACTTGAAATATAATGTATGAAAATTACTGTTTTTTATCCAACCAGAATAAGATCTTCTGGTCAAAAAGAACCATGTGCTGTTCATTTTTATCCCAATTACTTTGCACAGTCTCTGGCACATAATACCTTGAGTCAACCATGATACTGATGACTGAGAGAAGTACAAAAAAGCTCAGACAGTCAAGCTGGATTTTAAAATTGATAGAGAGCCACAAAAAGCTATTATATAGAAAATTTTGAATATAGTAATTATCCTGATTTTAGCATCACATACTGCACACAGTATTGATATTCAACTCTGTACCCCACAGATATGTACAATCAACTATGTTTCAAAAATAAATAAAAGGTTTTTCAGCTGAGCTGTGTGGGATACCCACTGAGAGTCACTGCCTCTCCCTAGAAGTGGTCCTGGAGAGTGTGACTCTGGAACCCTACACTGTTACTTAATACCAAACATTTTCTATTCCACTCACTGGTTTTTCAGCAAAGTGGAATAGAGAATGGGGGACAAAATGCATAGTTTACAAAAAAGAATAGATTCTGGAATGCTATTGGTAGATAAGATTTGGTATTATTTAATATATTATGATTCAGAAACAATATATTCTCTGGTGATTCTCTAGAGTCCATCTTTAAGATGATGTAAAGAAAGCTAAACTTGAAACAATTACATCACCCATCAGTTGTACTTATAGAAAAATCTCTCCAAAGTCTTTGTCTTTTTCAACTTTTAAATCGTTTTAAAATAAAGCCACCTCCTTGATTTGTAATTTCTTCCAACTGTAACATCAGCAGTCAAATATCATCTACCAAAAAAATATTGCTTTAACTTAATTCACTAAATAGAACAAAAAATTTAAGTACCTGTATTCATGCTATATTTTCTTTAATTCACCTGATGTGCTAGTTAGTTATATCTGAAGTGGTAGTATCTTCCTTTAAATTAAAGGCAAAAATAGCTTTCTTGATGAGATTAGATAAAAAGAATGAGAAGGACTGAAAAAGTTTATAATTATATAAGAAATCTTTTATTTTGATGACCTCAGATTGTACATATATATTTATTGGCTGCATAAGTGTATACCCAATAAATGTAAGTCAAGTATGACTTGAATTTGAAGAAGCAATAACTTTTGTTAAGATTTTCAGGTTTAAATGTTAAATAACTACTAGTTTCAGTTCTCTGCCTAACACTTGTAATTACATACACGTGTGGGCTTTTTGTTAGACTATTCTGCCCATCTGTAGGCTGACGTAAGTGTTCTGATTATGTTTAAAGTAGGCTAGGCTAAGCTATGATGTTCAGCAGGTTAGGTGTATTAAATGCATAAGTTGAAATATTGTAAGTTGAAAATATTTTTAATACACCTAACACAAAGCCTATTTTACAATAAAGTGCTGAGTATTTCATGTGATTTATTGAACAACGTACTGGAAGGCAAAAACAGAATAGTTGCATGGGTACTCGAAGAACAGTTTTTACTGAATGCATGTCACTTTCCCAACATTGTAAAGTCGTAAAATCATAAGTCAAACCATTGTAAGCCGGGAACTGGCTGTGTGTGTGTGTGTGTGTATACACACACACACACACACACAGTTATGTGTAGCTTAACAACTGGGAATATGTTCTGAGAAACACATCATTAGTCAATTTCATCATTGTGCAAACATCATAGAGTGTGCTTACAAAAACCTGGATTACATATAGCCAAATACTCACCTAGGCTATGTGCTCTGATCACTGTCATATATTCAGCCTATTGTTGACCAAAATGCCATTATGCCATGCATAACTCTGTGTGTGTGCTTATTTCTGCTCTGAAAAACTTTCAGTAGTGGGTGACTTGTGGAACTATGATTTTATTATTCACAGTTTTTCCATTTGCTTATCTGTCAAAAAAATTTTTTTTAGCCTAAAATATCAATTTGATGTGAAGCCAAAATCCTTATATGAATCTTACTCATTCAAGAGGTCAACTACTCTAAATCCTCCCAGACAGTCCATAATCTATCTTTTGAATAGTGACACATGCAAGTTCAGATTTAGAAGAACTCTCTATAAAGCCATAAATTTTGAACTGGGTAATCTCTTTATTACCTGAACAAAAGCGGTATCTATGGTTCTACTTTATCTATCTAACCCCAGGATGGTAGAATTTGTGGTTCACCTCACCGCTTCATTGATTCATGTCAGCACATTAGATCAGGAGATGAGAGTATAATCTAGACCCATGTGAAATGCCATACCACACATGTCAGGGGCTTCATCAGAGCTGTCTCCACAGTCGTCTTCTCCATCACACACCCAGAAATGTAGTATGCAAAGGGAATTATTGCAAAGGAACTCATCAGCTCTACATATATTCCCACCTTTATTTTAAAACAAAAGACAGATGGTCAACATAGTTAATGCTGGTCAAGTAAGCAGAACACATATTCCTCTAATTCTTATCACACAGTATATCTAGTTTCTTTATTCCTTATATTTATTTCATGCGTAAACTAAAAGCAGGTAATGTCCAAATTTGTTTTTAAAAGAGCGTTCACGGTTTACATGTCAAAACATCATAACATTACGTTCATATATATCATATTTTCCTTGTAGAATACTAATAAAATGGCAGAAGAAAGCTTTTTTCAAATCTAAATTATCTTCTTCGCATAATCTTTAGGTTACTGAGTATTTGGACTTTTAAAAGTATTAATTTTTACTATTAAAAATTCATTGTTCTAGAAATAAAAGACATTTTTAGAGTTACTGGATACTTTAGCTGTATCTGGAATACTAACAAACCAGATCATTAAAAACTTAGAATAACCACTACAAAGTTCTTTGCAGTCACAGAAAAACATTTACTCTTTTAAAAGCCATTTCTTATAAAACAGATTTTTTCTTATAAAAATTTTTCAATGAGTCATCCAATGTTTTTCGTATTTTTAAATGTTTTTATTTTATTTTTTTCTTCTCACAAATAAATAAAAATATCAGTAATACAGGGATATTCTAATGTAAAATTGCTAAGTACATCAACCACATGCAAATGACCCAAAGAACCAGTCAATTTGGGCTATATGTCTAGAGATGCAGCAATTTATATTCGAGATTGCAATGAGTGAGGAGTTAGGAATTGTGGATTCTTGTCTTGCTTTGGACAACTCTGTTTATTTCTCTAGGACTCAAAGTCTTCATACATTACAAAAGAGGCATGGTTAAAGTGAATTATAAGGTCATATGTGCAAACAGTACCTGAAGAAAGAATGCAAAGATGGGAATTTAGAATTAAGATAAATAAGATTGCTCTCAGAGTATTACACTACCTATTTGAACTTCATACATAAGATTAAAGGTATGGTTCCTGAGTTGGCTAGATTTGGCTTACTGAAGGAATTAACATATTTAAAGGTGGATATGCTCAGTAGAACATGGGGCTGTGGAGTGGTAGTGGTCATCCTTGCAAGCCTGGAAAATACCTAGAAAGGGCTATTGTTCATTTCGTGGATTCACTTTGAAGGAAATAACGAGCCTAGTGTTGGGAAGGTCAAATAACCCTTCTTGGTCTGAGTTTTGACTTGTCTCTAATAACTCACTTTCAGTGGCAAAAGGTTTAGCTTAAGAAATGATAGAATCAGATTTGGATTTTAGAATGAATGCGCTAGCTGTTGTGTGAAAAACTTGAAAATGAAGATGGAGTAAAGCCAAGCCTGGAGGAAAAAAGATCAATCTGAAGAGGGCTTGGGGAAATCCAGAAAAAACAAACAAACAAACAAAAAAACTGATGGTAACTTGATTTAGAGGAGCTACATTTGAGAACTCTTCAGAAGGTAAAATCCTCAGTACCTGAGGCTAAATAAATGAAGGTGGAAAAGGAGAGGGTGCAGTCAAACATGGAACTCAATTTTTGGTTTGTCTGGAACATTTGGTGAATGTTGGTGTTGTTCAACAAATAAAGGAACCCAGAAGGAGAAGCGGGCTTAGGAGAAATAATGATGCCCTTAGTTGAAGGTACTGGAAGATAACCATGTGGTGATGTTTATCAGGCTAGTAGATAAATGTGTCTGAAACATAAGACAGGTTTCTGAGCTGTAAGTGTGTATCTGGTAATGATCAGAAAATAGCTGTTATTTGAAGTTTAGAAGAGAACACTGCGGAAACCAGCATGTAAAGATTAGGTAGATTAAGAGCAGTTTAGAAAAGAGACTGAGAAAAAGGAACCAGAGTGGTTGGAGAAATATCTGGAAGAGTGATATCAGAGAAAATATGGGAAAAGTGTTCTAACAGGAAGCTTAGCACATTTAAATAACGGAAAGAGATTAAATTTAGTAAAGTGGTGGTGAGTTTAATGGAATGATTGTAATTGATTATTGAATGAAAAGAGGAAGTAGTAGTGAATGAAGAAATCTCTCTTCAAAAGTTTGGTCAAAAAGGGAAGGAAAAGAGGAGAAAGTCAGGTTATCGTAAGCGAGCCTGGTTGCTTGTGTGGGAGAAAACAGATGCCTTAGCACGTTTCAAGGTTTCTAGGAATAATTCAATAGACAAGGTAGGTTTGAAGATGCAGGAGGGAAAAAAGATAATTGAAATAATGCATTCTTTGAAAATTCAGAGACTGTGAAGTGTTTGAGATCTAGAGCAAAATAAAAGGATTAGCCTTAGCCTGGAGGTGAGTGAGACAAGTGTCTGTTTCAAGAGGAAGGAAGGGGGAAAGTCTGAGCACAGCTACAGGTAGACTTGTTAATGTGGTGACCAGATGTTGAAAAAGAGTTCACAATTTTTATTATTGCTGTAAAATAAAAGGTGAGGCCATTAACTGAGAAAGATAGAGTTCTATCTTAGTGACAGATTTAAGGAAGAAAGACAACTTTAAAAAAATGGTTAATGGTAGAGAAACATGATTAGGAAATTATTAGGTAGATTGCATAAAATCTTTAATGATAGAGCTGATATCAAGAATTTATAGCAATATCAATCTGAACAGTTGTAAGATTTTCTGCAAAAAAATTTAGCAAAACTAGTACAGTTCACATTGGCATCTCTGAGAACCACCAAACTCTATGATACATGCAAAGGCAGATCCTTGGTCAGTCCATAAGGTGAATATCATTCTCTGAGATTTCTGATAGTTCCATATCTGCCACTGGGGTACCCCTTTCTTTCAAATTTTTACAATGCTAAGCTCTAAAATGCTGTAATTTAAAAACAATCTCCATACAACAAAATACCATACCATTTAACTCTCTTTGAAAAAAAAATCAAAATAGTAATACTCATATGTGCAGTCATTTGTACTAAAGAAGCCAAAGATAGGAATACTGGTATGAGGTGAGTGTTACCTTAATTCGAAATCAAAATCCATAGAATATGAAGGAGAGTTGTGTTCTTTCAGAATAAAGATTCTAACAACTAAATTTCATTGCATGCTCCATTTACAATGAATTAAATTCAAACAGAATTTGTGAACTCTTGACCTCCTCTAATTACTCTAGAAATCTCTATTTGTAGCCCACTACAAATAGAAAAAATGTAAAAAAGAAAAAATGAGTTCCCTAAGGTATTGGAGTAGATAACATTATAATTTCCCCCATAAGAGCATTGGACATGCCACTGTGTTTAATAATAAGAGAAATATAAATGAAATAACAATTGTAACAAAAAGCCAAAGGTTTTGTGCTAACCTGCTAAAGACTGCATGTTGTACTATAAAGAATTTGCATTTCAGAAATTGCGTCATGGGGCACCATGACATCCTGAGTCTAACTTAAAATGCCTTATTTTGAAATGGCATGAAGCACACATAAACAACAAAAAAGGTATAATTTAAAGAGATTGGCTAGATTAAAATTCCAGTTTCCTAGTCATGTTCTTAATCAGCTCAACAGGAGGTTATTAGAAAAATAGAAAAGTATATATTCATTAACAATAACACATCTAAATTATAACTGAGCCCTTGGCAGGTTCATAGAAATCTGGTCAAGTGCATCTTCACATAGAATAAGCATCTAAAGTCTCATCTTAATTTGAAGAAACTTTAACATATGATAATATTTTATAATTTACATAGTTTTTGAGCTGATGATTCCTAAAAAAATACCTTTTAATCTTTTCCTGAAAAATTGTGGTGAAGAGTAGATTCAGGCCAGAACAAGCACCTAGTTTCCTTGAGGTGATATGTTTAACTTTTAAAATGTGAATGCTGCTTTTAATTCCATAGTACTTTGGGTTTTAGTCTCTTAAAGTAAACCAGTAAAATTGATTCCCTGGGAAAATGTGCCACGCTTATCCTGAAGTTTCTTAGCTTCCAGCCCTCAATACTTAGTTCCAATCATGTGATGGACAAAAGTGACATTGAATAGATGTTTATTCTGGCATTTCATTTCCTCGATGCATTAAAATACATTTATCCAATATCTAAGCCACTTCCTCGGAGTAAATTAAATACTAGAAATTTGAACTTGTTCATGCCTAAAGTACACCCATACAAAATCAAATACTTTAACCACTAAGGAATTTCACTGGAACTCAATTACCTGGCAGCAAAGAAACCTGAGAAAATTAGAAGTGCAAGTGGAGAGGGAGGGGGGCTTTGACACATTTGTAAATGACAGCATTAAAGGCTCTCAATTCTTCTTTTAGTCGGTGAGATTAAACGTTTAGTAGAATGATTTTAGATCTGAAAGGCACTTCAGATTTTCCAGTTTGGTTAGGATATGATACAAAAAGAGGAATACAAGAATTTAAGGCTGGGAAGGTAAAATGGGATTATTCTCTTGTGACCTGACTGCTGGGTTGAGTTGTTTCTATAACCAGGAACTGTGAGTAAGGACTGGCATACTCAGAGGTGCACTTAAATAAGATGAACCTGGTAGCAGTGAATAGGATATCTTGGGGACCAGCTAGTTGATATTACAGGAGACCAAGCAAGAAGCTTGGGAGAATGAACTAGACTGGTGGCAGTAGAGAGAGAGAGGTGATTAGCTAGAAAACAGAAAATAAGGAATAACTTAATTATTATCCAAAGTCTTTGAATACAATAGTTCATATGAGTTGCTGCTGCCAGATTGTCTGCAATGTTAGCTGTCTCTAGAGTGACCAACTACAGAAAGTGAGTATGAGAGCTTAACCAAAGGTAGAAATTGTTATTATGAATGTCTAGCTTTTTTATATCTCTCTAAAATGAACTAAAAAGTCCAAATGAAACTAAAATTTCTTCTGCTGAATATCACATCTTGTCAGGTTTGGGATGGACATATCTAATCATAAACATCTGTTGTGATATTAAATAAAGTAGAAAGATATTTTCCTTGGGTGACTAGATATTTGTGGAGGTAAATATTTTAGATATATGTAAACTGTATAAACTCTGAGTACATGTTCAAATGCCTTGCATCATGTGGTGACACCCAGCATTGTTTCTGTTCATGGCATGACAAATATTCTGTAAAATTCATTGAGAGATTTTTGCAAGCAAATCATAAGACATATTTAAACAACATATTAACAATATGAAAATAACAAGAATTGTTTAATTTGTGATCATTTTAAGCTTCAGCACGCAATTGCTTTGCTTTTATTAACTCTCATTAACTCTAATGTAGTAACAATTGCTGCTTTTAATGCTGTGGTTTACAACTAAAAAGTTGTTATCTGTCAGGAAATTGTCTTCAGATAGCTGGGAAATAACATATGACAAAACTGAAAGTTGTCTTCCAGAATGACAAAAAATGTAGGTCATATTCTCAACGATATGGCAAGAAGGAAATTTGGGGCACAACCTTTATATTGTATAGCACATGAATGTGTACAATACCATATGTTGATCCTATTCTTTCAGAGTAAGGCAAGACGTATGGAAGAGAAGCGTACACAGAAACACTTTTGTAGCAGTGTCTACAGTGTCTATGTTTTCTGTAATCCCCATCCCTAAGTCAGCATCTAGTCTCAAGACTTATTCCTGATAGCCACTCAATAAACACTTGCATAACAGATTGAGATTATACTCTGTCTGAAAAGGACCTGGATTTTGCTTATTTAGAACAGGCTGTTATGAAATGAAACTAGAAAGAGTAAAAAGAATCATTTAGTGATCCTATCCTCTGCTTCTAGCACACACTATGTATTCTGCACAGCACCTTAACTTTCATTGTCTCATTTGCAGACACGCACGCAAAAATACTTTACCTCTTTCACAGCTGTCTTCGTCACTGCCATCCACACAGTCACGAATTTCATCACACAGCCATCTAATTGGAATACAGTGGGCTTTGTTTTTGCACCGAAACTGATCTTCCTTGCATTCAGTCACACAGTCCATCTGTTCAAATACAAACGTGTGCTGCGGTTTTTGTTAATGATAATGATGCAGTCATGGGCAAAATGAACATGCAGTTTATAACACTGGAGATTTATTTCACCATGGTCTTTCTTTTTTTTTTTTTTTGACTTAATGATATAACATCTACAAATGACAATGGATTTTAACATATGAACAACATGAAGATTCAGGTATTTGCTGAAATTATTGGATTCAATGTACTTGTTTAACTTTTTAGACAGTGCTAAGAATCGAGATTCTCTTTATTTTCGTTACATTCGCCTTCCCAAACCTAATTCGTGTAATTCAAAGATTTTAATTGAATAATATTGTACCTCATCTGAACCGTCAGCACAATCATATTCTCCATTACATTTCAAAGATGCTGAAATACATCCTCTGCTGGCACATGCATATTCACTTGATGAGCAGGTAGGAGAAGCTGAATATAAAATTATAAAGTTGAGATTTAGATACAGTAAGAGAGTGACTGGTTTGGGAGATAAAAATATATAAAAATATAAATTTATAGACAGTAATAAGAATACTTTATGTTACTTAAAGTATATTACATATTAGGTATTAAATATACATGTAAAATGTGCTTTACAATATTATTGAATTGTATTAAACATACTTCAATGATGTAGTAGCCTGTGCAGTAAGGAGTTAACTCATTAGAGTAAAACAGAAAAAAAAAGTCAATATTCTCCCTCCCTTTGATTTTGAAGAGTTAAATGAGTTTTTCACAGTTTTAAATTAAATTATTTTAAATTATTAAAGCCTCAAATTAATTTCAAAAATGTAATAATATTTACTAATCCTTGGGAATGTCAATTCATATATGCACATTGTATAAAACAAAAAGTGGAAAATCTGGCATATACCCAGTGATATCTATTTGGCTGTGTTGACATAAATGTAGTATCTGAATAAGCTTTTTTAAGAAGTTTATTGTTTGGGGGTTTTAAATGAATATACATACAATTAATAGAACCTGTAGAATTTTTAGTATTCCCTTAGTATTTAGAAATTAAAAATAACAAGTGGATAAATAAGTTACTACCACTATCCAGCCTAACTAATTGATATAGGAATTGTGACAGCTGCCTTTGTCTATGGGTTTGGGTTTGCAAGGCTTGCATTCAAACCTCTGGGGTATTGGCCTTATATTAGGGCTCTATGTAGCCAAATGTTCTCACATAATGACTTTGTGGTCTGAATTGCTTAGTCCAGGGGTGCTAAAAAGCTTTCTCCTTGAGCTTTATTTTTTTAAATTGGCAGTATTTGCTTAGGAATCTGTATTAATAAGGAGTCTATGAACATGTCTGGATTCAGTAAAAAAGATGTAATCAATTGGCCATATGGACCACTGGTACGGTACTAGGGCATGGGACTTGTATGCGTTCGTATCTGCTATTCCGACCTAGTCTCTCAAGGTAATGCTTTTGTGGTTATAAATAGATTATAGTATTATTTTCCCCACTAATTTTTATAAGATAATGTAATTAAAATTTCTAAGTAAACAAGTTAAGTGTGTAATGAGTATATTTATAGAGTCGTATATAAGGAATAAACATGCATAGATTGGGTGAGTGGGATCATTGTTTTTTTGAGGTTTTCTTTTTGCCATACTCTGATTTTCCTTCCGAATTTTATTTTTATTTTGGCCCAAGACATAAATACAAATAATACACTTATGCTTCTTCTCAGGCGACACATTGAAACTACTACATTCTGTTTTGTAACCTCAATTTCCATAACTGAAAACCAAACTTTTATCATACTTTACAGTTTTAACATATTTCATTTTGCTATCTTGGGAAAATAATTCCAAATGGTGTGATAAGATATAGAAACCAGAAAATCAAATTTGGGCGAATAACACTTGGATCCCATACAGAAGTAACGATCTCTCTGCAAAACATACGAAGGGCACACCAATTAATTTATGCACAGATATTTCAGTTTATTTCTTAAAAGTGGTAAATAGAACTACATATTTGCTGCCATTTTCTGCATATTGCTGCTTGAATTAAAATTCTATCAAGGTGAAATGTCAGCTACATTGAATATTATTTTCATTATTTTACCTTGTTCACAGTTTTTCTCATCTTCCCCATATTTACAGTCCTCGTGGCCATCACATTTCCACTTTGCTAATATGCACTGACCATTGGAACACTGGAACTGATCTTTGGAACAACTAGTTTCACAATTTCTCTGTCAAAAACAACACAGACATAATTAAAATTAAATTTTAGGAAAATATCTACAAACCCAAAGGCAACCAGAAAACTTATGCACAGAAACCTAGAAGTATAGAAACTATGTCTACTACATACAAGTGGCTTAGAATATTATATTTTAAGTCCATGATTATATAACATAATTATAACAATTTTCCACTTTCGTATGTCTCCGCGGATAATAAAACAGGCAAATGGAAAGAGGACATAAATTCCATGGCTTTATCATACTAATTAAATCACTCAGAGTGGATCATTCCTCAATAGATAATAATGGAGTAACAGGATTTTAATGATTATAGGTAATAATGAAGACTGTGGGAAAATAAAAGGGTTAAAGATTATTTCTAAACAATTACATCCAGTTCATTGGGGGTGGTGGAGGCTGAACAGGAGGATGGAATGTGAAACAAACAAAAATCCTAAGGCAAATTTGTTTTGCATTGGCAAACCTTCCACTAGTGTTCTTTCTTTTCCCATCTCCCCATCTTTTTCTCCACACTTGCTGGTCCTTTTACACTTTAGTTGGTGTTCAGATTCCCCTTCTCCTCTTTTCTGACATTTCTTCCTAAAGAACTGTGAAATGAACTGTCGCAATTGTCATTTCTGCTAGCCCATAAACAGATTTTATTTGAAAGTCAAACAGGATAGCAGATTTACCTTTGGGGATCTTTCAACTCTTTATATGAGATAAATAAAAGGGATCCACTAGAAATCACCTTCCCTGGGTCTGAACACTCTGTTTGAAATGAGATGCTCCAAAGAAATGTCTTGCTGGGATGATATGTTTCTGTTGTCAAGCAATTTCTATTCTTGCCAAAATGTACTTGTCTGCTCCTTCCACAAAAAGTGTAATACTCTCACAAGCATGTGGAACTTCCAGTGAGTGAGTCATGTTAAACTACTACTGCTGCTTCTTCCCAGTTTCACTCCCATGAAAGAAAGGAGAGTTTACTTTCTACATTCCTGCTGATGGCAGTTTAATTACACTGCTATATAAGCAATTTTCTTCTTCCCTTCTTTTCCTATATATTGAGGGTTTACCATTTGCTAGCGACTTTCTTAGATAATAAAAATGCAATGAAAACTAAAATTTACTCCCTATATTTGATAAACTCATAGACTAGTATGAAACACCAACACCTAAACCAACAATTGCTATAAAAATATATTAACTTCCAAGATAAATGAATATGGTTTTAAACTGGAGGTTTTAGAAAAGGCTGAACAGAGGAAGTTTTGCCAGAAATGGCATACCTAAGAAAAGGCTTCTCATGTGTAAGGATAATTAGAAATGTGGGGTATCTGAAAGATAAACTAGGTAATGGTGAATGGCATGAAAGACATTAAAGAAGTAGCCCATGGACTGGTCATGAGAGATGTCACATGTTTTGTTCACCAAAGTGCTCCCCGTGCTCAGTGACAGCCCTGTGTATAGTAAGCATGCAATAAAAACTGTGGAACAAATGAATGAGGTAACTAATGTAGAAAACAAAAATAGAAATAAAAATCTCATGTAATTGAGCTCTACTGGGACAAAGACTATGTCTGTCTATGAAACATGTATCTAATGCTATGCCATGATTATAACAATTGCTCAGTAAACATTTCTAGAATTAATAAATGATTATCTCAGCAGTTAGGCTCATTTAAGTAAAATATCTCAATAAACAATGGTACTGGTTTATCTATGGTGTTTTGACAACAATACAAAAGGTGGTAGTTCTAGGTACTTTTACTATCATCAGAAGATTTTTATCTGCAATAAATTACAGTATAGTTGGGTATGTGGGTGTAAGAGTATGTGCTTATAGTGTGGGTATTTAATTATTATTTTAGATACCTAAAAACATACAAAAAAGTAAAGAAAATAGTATTGTGAACCCTATGTGCCCACCATACCCAATCAACAATTGACACTTCACTACTCACGTTTCATCCATTCTCCCCCTTACTTATTTACATTCTGGAATATTTTAACACAACAAGGGCATCAGAAAATTAAAAATATCACAAAATAAACAATAATTTCTTTGTATATCCAATCCATATCCAAAATTTCCTCATTTACTTAACTATAGATATTGTTTGGAACAATGAGAATTTAAAAGACATCTACACATTGAATTTGGTTTAAGTTTTTTTTAATGTATAATTATTTACCATTCTCTCAGGTTTTTAAAATACTATTTACCACTTGAAGAAACTAGGTCATTCATTCTACAGAATGTCCCACGTTCTGATTTTGACTACTGACATTCTAAGACTATTAATACTTTAGCAACATCCAAAGTGACTACAGGGCTTTTTATTTTTTTAAAGTATTGTGAATCCATGGAGTTTTATACATTTATTGTGTTTCAATTCATTACAATCATTTTTCTTTCTGATGCTCAAATTTTTTCTTTTGTCAATGGGAGTTTCTTCAAGTTTGCTCCTGTGCACTTTGAACACTTATCCTAATAGCTTTAGATATTAGCAGCTCATCTTGTCAATTTTCTTTCTTAGACATAGGATTACACATTTCTCAAAGGAGTCTTGTTTCCTTTAGTTGGGAAATGGCATTTAGAGACCACTCTGTGAATTTTTTGGATAGTCATTACTGCGGAGTTTTAAATTTTTTTCAGTACAGAGGTAGGCATTGTATATTTTTAGAAAGAGAAAGATTAATCAAGATCTCATACTCATTCCCTCCGGGGAAGGGGAATAGAAGTCGGTGATTAGTTGGGTGGGGAACACAGGGAATAATCACACTTTGTGGTAATGGGCATGCTGATAGTATTGATCTGGCCATCACATCTTGGGCTCAAGTGGTGACGGTCAGCTTTGTTCACCATGAATATGCATAACAAACAATTTTTTTTAAAGTAATGAAAACATTATTAGCCTTTTTATAGTTCAATCCATTATAATGTGATGTTGAATGTTTTCGGTTATCAGAGAAGATGGATTTACCACGAGGCAGCTTGTTCAAGCAAAAAGAGCACTTGATTTCAATTCAAGAAACCTGGGTTCTAGCCCTCATTCAGCTACTGACTGCCTGGGTGAACTCCACTTTGTTTCTTAGTGTCCCTGAAGAAGAGATAGCTACATCTCCAAAGTTTGCTGAGATCTAATATTCTATGACATTTGTCATTGGGACTTGGGATTCTCAGACAGGAATGGGTCAGATGACTGCACTACTATACTTGTTGGCAGAAAATGCTTCAGTATGGCTTATGTTCTTCCAGTAAAATGCTACCACTGACAAGATCATTTCTGGGCTTGCCATTTATACTCTCTAAATAAAGTTCTTTAATTAAAAAAATATATATCTTTTACTGATACTTTGGAATTTAATATTACAGACTTTTCACTTAATTTTTTGTTTCTATATTTATATCTTCTTTATTTTACTTTGAGTGCTAATGACATTAATATTAAGAACTTGAACTACCCTATATATGAGTTTCAAATGAGCAAAACTAATATTATTATTAACATGTCTATGAATGCAGTGTAAGATTCTTTTGTGTTTCTTTTTGTGCTTAGAATATATTATGCTAGATGTAGACACCAAATATTATAATTTAAAGTAACTTTAAATAATAATTCTCTGTATGTTACAGAGATATACGCTTGATATACAATTAGGTTGATCCAAGTTGGGTTTTTTAAATTTCTTTTTTATTGCTTTGGCTAGATATTAACAAGCTAATTATACTATCAGTTCACTTTCGTACAGAAACTTATCTTCACAATTCTCCAATTTTTGTTCTTAATATCAGAGTATTCTGTGTATAATTCTGCCTTCTAGCCATTTATTCAGCCCTCCTTTTTGTTTGCTTTTTGTCAATGCAACCTGTCATTCTGGACTTTAGAAAATAGATGAAAATCAACTGCCTATAGCGTTAGCCACTTCATTACATGCAGACTGTACTAAATGTCTGTAAATGTAGAGAAAGACTGCCTTTAAGGAAGGTCATTTTATTCCCTCAGAGCATTATCACAAAAATGCCTGGATATATGGAAATATATGTGGCCATCAAAGAACTATGTCTATCAATTATGACATGAGAGAAATGTTGTTAATATTTCACATAAACAAGATTTTGAAAAAAGTGTTTGATTTTGTATATGTAACTTGCATACCTGGTGAATAACATGCAAAATGAAATCATAAGCCTTTAGCAATATATCCCCACCTCTGATATTTTACAGATTACACAGGCTGGTATAACATATTAAAACATTTTTTTTTCATGGTATGGATAAGTGTATGTGAAGTATGTTTTCCTGCCTTGGAAATGTTTAATATAATTTTTGAATTAATGAGTGCTAAGTAAATGCATTAGTCAATGTAAAAATTTAACTCCTCCATGGTTTTTTTAAATTTTTGTTTTGACTTTTGCTTTGAGAATAGCCCCATGTGTAAAAGTGGTATTTTTAAACTTCTTTTGAGATAACTTTGCATCTTTGAGGTTTAGATTTTGCTGGCCTTCAGGTGAAAAGTTATACCCATTTGTTTTCAAAATCTAGGCTCATGAATGTGATTAGCGTGACTTTTCCAAAACGGTGAGAGAGTGGAGAAGAATTATCCAATTTTGATAAGAATGCATAAGGGCTGGAAAAGAACTAGTTATGTGGATTCTATAAATGGTAGAGACCTGCAGTATCTCCCAAAGAGGCAGGAAATCAGTGAATAGTTAGGGAAGTTGGACCCGAAACACAGTAACCTCCAGAACTACAAGGAGGATCCTCTCTGGTCAAGCCTATGGTCCATGGAAAGTCTCTCATAAGGGGTGAGTAGACTAACTTGTCAAACAGAGCAGTTGAGCTCTAGGGAGTCATTGTATCACAGAAGGTGCCTAAGTGTCCACTGAGGACCGGAAACCTCTTTTTTCCTTCACCTCTGATTGGACCTGATTGCACAAGTTCTGTGTTCCCGATATTATCCTAGAGAAACAGAGAAAATCCTTAAAAGGGACTATTATTGGACTTCTCTGTGATGGGAAAGGGAGGGCTTGAGGTCATTTTAGGTTTGATGGAGGAAAAATATGTGACCATCTGTCATTTATTACTTTTAAAACATCATGGAGTAAATAATACCTGACATACAAACACACAAATGCATAAATAATGAGTTTTATAAAGCACTGTAAATCCTATTGCAGTCTAAGTTTACAGAATTATTTGGAGAAATTCTAAACTTTTTCACTTAAAGCTGTGTGTACATAGGCCTTATTATAAATGGATTGTGATTCATCACCTAAGCAAAGCTCAACCTGTGGTTTCATGAAAATTGATGACCCACATGGAAGTCTGTAAAACTATATCTATTGAAGAAAGAGACTGGGGAGAAGCAACTGTTTAAAATGCATAAAAATATTAGTCCTGACTATAAATACTGCAGCAAATTTATGAACAAATTCACAGATGGCAAGGGCATCAGCTATAGGGAATAAGGTTTTTAAACATCTTATTCCCAACCCAGCCATTCACCAGTTGAGGTAAAACAGACTATAAAATTAACTGTCAATAGCAGCACAAGAGCTATTCCCCACACTGGGGGTGTGCAGCACAGCACATGATATAAGACTTATCTCAGTATGTCAGGGGCAAAGTGCATTTCAGAGCTGTACTTGTCACACTTATTGGAGTGAATACTAATAATTATAAATGTGGTTCCAAAAAACTGCTTTCTTTTTTGTTTGATTTTGTAAAGATGCCTACCTCATCAGAGCCATCTGCACAGTCAAAATCTCCATCACACCAAAATCTTGAAGACACGCAGTCCCCATTGGCACAGAGAAAATCTTTCAATGTACAGGTCTGTGGCTCTGGGGATAGAAAAATAGCATAGGGTTATTCTCTTATATGCAACTGAATTCTAAAATTTACATGACATACAAAATGAGGTAGCATTGAAAAAAAGAAGTTAGCCAAGAGGAACCAATAAATTGCTCAGGAAAATGTCTCATGAAGCATCTATACTACCTAACATAATGATTTTTCAAATTTATTTTTAAAGTCATGCATAGAAAGTGGCATTACAGAAACAAATTGGGAAAAAAAGACAAAAGATAAATAGCCTACTCTTAAATAAAAATACAGCAGCAAAGTAAAATAAAAAGCATTAAAAATCCACATATTGTCATACTATAACTATGACCTTTTTAAGCTGGAGTTTTAAGTCATTTTATTTGTCACTTTAAATAAGACATTTTGTAACTCTCTGTGCCCAAAGGCTGTTTATTAACTGGGGAGTGAGTCTAGCCTTTGGTTCTTGACTTTTTATTATATATTCTAATGACTTTCTAATTATTAAATTTTGTCTGCAGAAAATCCAGAGTTCATGGGACAAGAAGGATACAGGAGGATACTATTGGATATAACCAGATAGGTATGGGTTGAAAAGTCAGAAGGAGGCTGTTTTCTTTGAAAACTGCCAATTTGTTTATGCAATATTTTGCGTATGCCAATATAATTTACCTACCAATTTAGATAATTTCCTATTTATTGATTTAATTACACGTCGCCATATTCCACATAGGACAGAAGCCAAATAGTATGGCTTAACTACTTGGCTTAATTCCTATGTGGAATGTGTTTCATCTGGACAGTGAAGTAGGATTTCAGCAATTTGTTTCTGCAATAATCAATATGACCACTGGAGATCATCTTCCTTTTAGTTTTTGTTCTCTAAACAGGACTGCTGTCTTGCATGATGAAAGACCCCTTCTGTTTTTCTATTCATTAATGACATTTGCAAATGTGTCATCATTCTTATTCGGGTGGAAGAGATATAGGTAATAGACATTAGATTTAAGGAACATACATATGAAGCCTAATTTTCTGCATAAATATCATAAAAATTCAGCCTGTGTTTGGATATTGCTCCACACAATCATTCAGTTTCCAAATATAAGGTAATATCTTGATTGTCTGATATCGTGAAGTCTCCTATGTTTCTATATAATGAACCCCCGTGAGAACACTGAAAGAATTGTGGAAAGTGCAATATGTATCAAAGAGCATTTTGTTCTGCTCTGGGACATAATTTATCTTAAAATATGAAAATCAGGCCATGAAAAAAACAAGATGCCATTCTGTAAAATAGGAAAAAGTCACTAAAAGGATAATTCCCTCATTTGTCTACATTTTTGTTTAGTGAATGTGACAATAGCAATTTCCGCTTTTGTCTTTATACTGTATTTACGTATATTATACTTTAATCTTAAAAAATAACTATTGATACTTATATTACTAATTATAACAATAATAATAACTACAAGCTACTGCTTGCTTATTTATTATTAGGCATTTGATGAATAATGCTAAGTACTTGAATTAACTCATCAGTGAATCCTCATAACAACTCAATAAGTATGTGCTATTGTTGTACCCTTTTTTGCATGAATAAATCAAGGCACAGAGAGGATAAGGAACTTACTCCAGATTACTCCCAGCATGCAGAAGAGCTAGTTATTGAACTTGAACTGAGATAACCTGATACCAGAGCCTGTATATTTTACTACTAGGACACATCATTGCCTCCCATACTACTGAGGAAGTTATAAGTGCTCACATATTACAGAAATTACTAGTAAAGCCCTGAGAAGTCAAGTTACTTGTCTAAGGCACATGGCTAACAATGTCTATTTTACTTAATAATAAGAGAAAACTCTCTTGTGCTTATCACTCCATACTAAAGCCATTTTCTCATCTTTCATTTGCAGACACATGCAATTTTATTCTTAGGAAAAAGAAATTATAATGAAATATGTTCAATTTATTTAACAATAGAAAATAACAACCAAAGAGTTTTTCATTAAAAGAATAAAGAGAGAATGTATTTAAAACAGATTGTACTCAGATGTTCAAAAACAGCAGAAGAAACATTTAATTTCCTGGATTTGGGGGTTATCTGAATGAGATTAATTCTTCCTTGAAAGTTCTAATTTTCCTTTATCTTATTTAAAAGCAAGTGCATTCATCACGTGCTAAACAGCAATAGCTTCACAGGCTTTGACACTCTTTGCTATATGAAGGGTTGGCAGTCATTGATGTAATGTTATAAGAAGTCATATAGCCAGCCTTTGGAGACATTTGCCCAATAGTTCCACATAGCACTTGTTCTATAGAGATTTATCATAACATTATTACTTGTTCTGTTCCAATATGGGGGATGAAGGACTGAGTGACTTGTTGGGAAAAGCTTTTTCAGTGAAAATGGAAATTTTGCATATTTTTATTTTTTTTTTTTTTTTTTTTTTTTGTCCTTTTTGAGACCGGCTGGACCGCGCTCAGCCAGTGAGCACACCGGCCATCCCTATATAGGATCCGAACCCGCGTGCGCACTCTCCCAAGTGCGCCCCGGGCTCGGCCCTTCTATCATGTTTTTTAAAATGCCAGAAAATCTACTTCTTAATAATAAGCATGAATTATTTACACATACACAAATGCCATCAGGGAATGGGGTAGCTGGTCTTTTTCTAAACTTCATTTAGGCATCTCAGAATCTTTTCCCACTTAGAGAGCTTAAAAAGAAACTCTCTCTTGTGAAAAATGTAATTTAGTCACGAGAGAAGATACTAAGGGATTTTTTTTTTTACTCTTATTGCTTATCTTACTTTTGATCTTTTTCAGATAAAGTAAAAGACCAATTTTCAGACTTAGGCATGATAGTTAACATTTTTCTTGTGAAAAAGAACAAAGAAATATGGACTATATCTGGAAGCTAACCCATTTGAACAGAAAATTTAATTGTGATATTTTCCCCAGTATTTCTCAAGTGCTGTTACCACACTAATTTTCTCTAATAGTACCTATATCCCTGAACCAGGAGTAGATAGGGAATCCCACACATAAATAATTAACCAGATTTTCCCATAAGTCTCACCTAGACAGCCCAGATTGGCAACCAAGAAGCTTTTGCAGGACATGCTTTCCATGTTTTGGAAGGCTAGTACAAATTCTATAATAATAAAAAACAGAGGCATCGTATGGATTGGTCATTTACTTTAATAGTAACAGAGGCAAAAATATGCAGCCTCAGAATTGAAAGGAGCTTTGAAAGCCATGTTGGCACAAAACTGAAAAACTGAAGTTCAGAAAATAAAAGTGATTTTCAAAGCCATAGAATTAATGGCAAAGCAGAATGTCTTCCAAACTCCAGTTTTTCCCTGAGAGTATTATCATAAACCCTTGGTGAAAAGTTCAAATGCTATATGAATGTGGGTGTAAGCATCTGAGGAGAATTTTAAGAACACAATTAGTGCAACTGACGACCTATATAAATAATCTTCTCATATAAATTCAGTGTGAAAGTACTAGAAATTCAAATGAGGCAAAAGCAGCTTGTATCTACATAAACCTTAATCTAGTTTATCAAATTACTTGGTATTTTTAAATCTATTGGATTGTTAGTTACTTCTTAATAATGCAAAGATATGGAGTAATTATTTTGCATATCAATTACTTAGGAGGCATACATGCCGTATAGTATATTTTTTGTTAATAAATATCTTACAGATGTTGAGGTTTCTCAAGCATTTTCATACCTTCAATCCAAGTTACAAAATAACACAAATGACAATGAAATTTTCTTGTTTTTAAGAGCAGAAATCATCGCTGAAGTAAAGTGTATCTCCTGAACACTTGATGAGGGACATAATCAGCAAATAATGAAATGACAATGGAATAATTGTCCCACAGAAATATAAAAATGTAAAATGCATATTAAATTTAAAACATAGCTGTTGTTTAATTGCATTATTTGAACTCTTCCCATATTTATGACTGGAGCATTTCTAACACAATTTAAAAAGTAAATTCATTAAATCAAACTTGTAAACAAAGTCCAAAAGTGACTTTTAAAATATGTTGCTGTTGCATTTTAATTATAAGTTTGATTTACTATCTCTGGTATGTTACACTACTTAATAATAGTTAATAATAACTGCCAAATATGAAAATGTAAACGAAAGTACATACCAATCATATACCTCTCTCTCTCTATATATACATATATATATATATATATTTTCAATTATCTATTTAAACTACTGTAAATGTGTGTGTGTATAATAACTGCCAAATATGAAAATGTAAACGAAAGTACATACCAATCATATACCTCTCTCTCTATATATATACATATATATATATATATATTTTCAATTATCTATTTAAACTACTGTAAATGTGTGTGTGTATATATATATATATATATAGATATAGATATATATAAAGTTAGGACATTACATAGCTAAAATATATATAAATTAATTTATAATATACATTTTAGGACAGTGGTGTGTTTGTGTGTACATATATACACACACATATATATTTACGATAGTTTAAATAAATAATAAGAAATTGAAAATATCTTGATTGCATTTAATACAGCAACAGTATTTTTTTGAAGATTGTGTTTTTTTTATGACTAATCTCTTTGTGCTCCCTATAAATATATTCTATTCTTTTCTCATTCTTCAGTGATTTGGCTTCTGCCTATGTAGAACTACTGGCATTTTCAGTGTCTAAACCTTCCCATTTCTTTTAGCTTTGAATTTATATCTTCGATAAGAAAATATCTTTAAACATTATCAATTATCTAGATTCCTTGATCCGTCCTCTTATGTGCTTTTACTTATTTAACCTGTTAATATACTTTAATATTTGCCTTAACATATTCTTCCAGCTGTCTTACACGTGTAACATGTTATCATACTCTTATGCTAGTCCTGCACATGCCTTCTACTCTTCCATGTCACAATTGTAACATGTCTCATTCTTGTCCATTGTCATCTCTTCTCTGCAACTTCATCAATATTACTTATCTTAGGCAACAAGCTAAGAATGAACAGAAACTGAAAGAGAACCACACATAACTGGCTATTTTATACTGCAGTGTTTGTTGCTGCAGCCACTTCCCTTGCTTTTTCTTAAGGGCTCTGTGGCTAAATGATTTATCACTGTTTCCACAGTGACAAGTGAGAGTCAATGCTCTTCCTTCTCGCTTTCTTGCACCAAAGGCTGACTTTTAGATATCAGCACAACAATACTCAGTCACTTAGGAAAGCCCCACAGACTCAGGAACAGGCTATCTCAACCCTTCGTTCTTACCCTTCTTTATAATTTCAGTTGCCCCCTTGAATAATGACTCTCCAAGGTACAAGTCTCCATCACTGCCCTCTCACCCACCCTCTGTTCTCAGCATCCTTCTGTCCTAGGGCTTCACTCTCAGATATCTTATTGATAACACTAGATATTTCAAAAACCAAGCTAAGTAGTTACCTGTATTTTGAGCTCTGCCATACAAATAAACAAAAAGCATATATATAATTGTTACTTTTTCATACTTAGTCTTCTCTCCCTACTACCTTCACCCCAACAAATTCTTATTTTAATCACTAGACAGATCTGAGAACCTGCTGCATAAAGGATCTTTTTTTGTTTGTTTGGTTGGTTTTTTTGCTGATTAAAGGAATCTGAAACATTCTAATGACTCTCTGCAATGTGCTTTACCTTTCTAAAGACTATGACCAGTTGGGAGATATCTATGTGAAGAGGAAGTTATAAAGGTTCTATATTCAGAGTGCTCCATAATCATAATAATCCAGAGATTTCATACTTACTGTACTTGATTCTCAAGCACGGGTCAGATTAAGTTTTAAAAGTTATTCAAAACATTACTCGATATTTTGCAAGCCAAATATCCAAATGGTTTATTAAGACTTTCATATTACTAATTATATGCCTTAATATAACATATTCCTATGTAAATATAGTCTTTTGCCTCCTGGGAGATGAATGCTGTTAGTGCCATGAGATGTCTGTAAGAGAAGACATTACTGGTATTAATCTGCATCGAATCCTTTTTGGAAGTAGCAGAATATAAATATTTAATATATGAAATTGGATTATTTTAAGTGGGTTATATTACTTTGTTTAAATAGCAGTGAATGGAAGTGAAGTTAAAAAATAGATTCAGAAATTAATGCTAGAATATAGACATCTTGCTACAATTTTACATACTTGCCATCCTTTTTAGAAGATAAAATTGTTAGATAATTATTGTTTTTAAATTTATTACATAAAAATGAAGGAAGCAGATGATGATAATAGTGTTATTCTATTTTCAGAGAGAAGTATCCTGAATACATATGGTGTTCACCACTCCAGAGAAAATAAATGATATTTCGCTGAAAGATGCTCATGGGTGAATCTGTAGTGTAAAAGGATTTGTGACTGAAATAAAATGAATACCATCCGTTAAAGGATGAGATGTTTTGCACTGTCTCTGCATCATTCAGCTCATTGTATGAACTTGCATCAAGGGCTGCCTTCATTGCATACTAATGGGTCGCATTAAACCTCATGGTACTTTCATACCAATTCTGAGAACTGTAAGAAAATAACTCCCAGGATGAACATTTCAATAATTTTACCATTTGAGATTCAGGTCAATGTAGTCTGAATATTCTTGTCTAAATGTGAATATATATATAAATGTGAGCTGCAGGACAGATAGATTTAAATTTATACCTTACCCGAACTAAAAATTGCCATCTTGCTTATCAGATGGGCTGACAAGCTTGCAGTATTATTAGGCAAGAGTAACTTACTACAGTTTTCTTCATCTGAATTATCGCTGCAGTCATTTTGACTATCACAACGCCAATGATCTGGAATACAGTTGTTGTTTTTACACTGGAATTCATGAGGACCACAGGTCTTTTTATCTGTAAAGGAAAGAATCACAGTGCATCACTGACTTCCACAAAGAGATCTCTCACAATGTCCTGACTGCCATGCCAAACCCATGGCATATAATATTTACTCAGACCTTAACTCAGATACTGACTGATAAGCATCCCTAGGAAAAACTGAAGGCAAATGCTGAGTTAAATTCGTGTTTTTGTTTTGTTTTAAGTTGCTATCGGTCACGTTTTCATCGCAGGCTAATTATAAAGTAATTGACTGGACCAACCAAGTAAAGTCAACAAAATCAGCCAAAACAAAAACAAAGGAAGATCAAAATGATTCAAAACTATTCTTTCCTTTAGGACATTCCTTCCCAAACCCATCCTTTATTTTTGCTATGAAGCAACAAAAAGAAACGGTTATTAATCTGACTCTGAGGTTGTCATCTCATTTTCCTCCCTAAAGAGCTCTTATTCATAATGTACCTATAGTAGTTGCTGTTTTTAAATCCTGGCCATTGTTCACTCATAAACACATAAACTCATAGATTATAATAATGCCTTAAATATGTACAGAGCTTGAACATTAACAATCTACCATTTCACATGAATCTTTAAACAGCCTCATTGAGTACCAGAAGTATTAGCTATTCTTTTACTTTACAGATGATAAAACAAAAACTCTTCAAAGCTTAGAGACTTGATGAATTTTCAATACCATTAAATGGCATGGCCAATATGTATATTAAAAAGTGCTTTCACTCCTGATTTAGTGTTCTTTACAATGAATCTAATTTATGTCCATATTAGCAAGAATCAGAATGTGTGCAATTTGTTCAAATTTTAAATCATATTTTTGAATTTCCATGAGTAATATCTACCTGTATATAGTCTAAAGCAGTGATTCTTAAATTTTAATGTGCATACATATAAAGCACTTGGAAATTTTTTTATAATGGAAATTGTGACTCAGTAGATCCCTTGGTTTATGAGACACATAATGTGTTTTAAAGTATCAAGATGCTATGATTTCTATAACATAAAAATAATAAAATTATAAACCTTAATGTACAATTTAGGACACATTTCCCTTTCATATATTTAGATCAACTACTTCTTTTTGGCCATGTTAGAGGAAGACAGTGAGGTGCCTAAAATCTCAGACTAGCAAAATAAATTAACTAAAGGAGAGGGTAAGTTATTTAGTGGTGGTCATTAATCTGTACTTCAGAATGCCTTTTATACAAATGAGACTCAAATAAGATTATGAAAGCTAAAGTTATTTAGGTATAATTATGAAAATTAAATAATGAATATCTGTTCAGGAGTCAGCCCAGCTCCTGGCTAAGCATTTTCATAAACATGATCATACTCAACCCTTATAATATCCTTAAGAATTATTATTACATTTATTTAAATAAATGAGGAAAATAAATCTCAGAGTTAGGTAATTTCTCCAGTCTTACAAAGGTGTTAAATGGCAAAGGAGGAATTTATATCCAGGTCGAGATCCAGAAATATTTTACCTTAGAAATTCTCATAATAGACTTCCAAAGCATTTTTCTAAAAAAAAAAAAATATATATATATATATATTTATATATATATATATATATTGCCTGTATTTCCCTTGCTTCCTTTCTTCCTGTCTGCCTACCTGCCTTCTAATGATTAATCAGAACCTATCCTGTCTTACTGTGTTAGGTGCTGTGTTTTGTAATATATCCTTTTTATCTGTGTTATACCTAACTTTAGATTTTTTAATTGGCTTAAAATCTGCAGAAGTTCTAATATAGCATTCTGTACACCTTGGTCAGTCAGGAAATATGTCAGGATGCCTTAGATTTAAATAATAACCACTGAAAATATCAGGTTTGGTACTGAACAATTTGGATGGTTATTTCATTTTATCAATTGAAGCCAACTCCTCTGAAACTACAGCTGTATGTAAAAATGCTAGTTTTATTTATTCTTTGCCATGATGCTTGCATTATTCTTAAATAGCACTTAAAAATTTTAGTATATACAACTATAGGAAAGATCAGACTGGATCAGACAAATAGACCACATGACCTAGTACTACAACACTGGCCTGAGCAGAGCAAATCTCCCTGACTGCAAAAGGTTAATGATTGGTACTGAGCAGCAATTTAGTAGGTGGGTTTTTTTTTTTAGTTTGGTGCTTTTTTTTCCTGCTAAATCCTTTTTGTACCTTTTTCCTATATATATATATTTTTTTCAGTGAATTAAACTTTATTCTTAATTGGGGAAGATGTATCATTGTCTTTTTTTTCTGTGGTAAAACATATATAACACAAGAATTTCCATTTTAAGCATTTTTAAACATACAATTGTGTGGAATTAATTACATTCACAATGCTGTATAACCACTACCTCTGTCTGTTTCCAAACTTTTTCATCACCTTAGATGTAAACTCTGTACCCATTAAGCAATAACTTCTCATTATTACTTCCCCCCTGTTTCCAGTAACCTCTTGATGGAGTTTGGAGGTATTGTCCTCCCAGAACTCATGTGGAAATTTGATCTCCAATGTGGTAGTGTTGGGAGCTGTTTGAGTCATGGAGGTAGATCCCTCATGAATAGATTAATGCTCTCCCTGGGAAGTTGGGGTAACAAGTGAAATCTCTATTAGTTCCTCAGAGAGATGGTTGTTTAAAAGACCCTGGAACCTCCTCTCTCTCTCTCTTGCTTCCTCTCGCCATGTGATCTGTTGTACCTGCCACTTTCCCCCATGAATAGAAGCACCCTGAGGCCCATACCAGAGGCAGCTGTCCCAGAATCATGAACCAAATAAACCTCTGTTCTTTTTAAATTACCAGTCTCAAGTATTCTGTTATTGCAACACAAAATGGACTAATACGCTTCTAATCTACTGTCTCTGATTTATCCTATATTTAAACATTTGTATCATACTTTGTGTTTGAAAGAGATCTGCACCTATTTCTTAACAAGAACAAGCTAGAGTTCACTGCTAAGATTTCCATTTGGGGCATGCAGAAATGGTAACAGGGAAAGGCTAACTGCCTTATTCAAAGTCATGCAGATTTTATGTTTCTAAGTTATTTAACATTTTGATCCATAATATTACTTGTAAAAATTACAGATTCAAACTATATAGCCTTGTTTTGCATTTAAAACCTCCCTTGAGGATATATTTATAACCTCAAGGCTATATATATGGAGAAACTGTATGAGTATGGTCTAAAACCGCAGTTCTCAAACTGGCTACACATTAAAATTACTTGGGAAACTTTAAAAAATCCCTCTACCCAGACCATATCCCACATCAATGAAATCAGACTCTCTAGGGCCAGACCCAGACATCAGTATTTATTAAAGCTAGACTGGTGATTCCAATGAACAGCCAAGATTGAAAATCACTGGCCCCCAAAATTTAATTCTAGAATGGAACATACATACTTCCACACTCCAGAGTAATTAATGGAAATTGTTTACAAAATGCAGTGTTTTATATTAATTCACATTGTTACATAGCATTACAGATACATTATCCCATTTTTTTAATATTATAAATATGGAGAAGACAAATATAGTATTTGAAAACTTGTCTTTGTTTAATATATTTTCACATGAATTGCAGAAACTGGTACAAATATGATCCTCCCAGGAAGGTGGGATGAGAGACCTCCAAAGGAAAGAACTGTATGTAATGTGTACTGCAATACTATTGGAGTTTGGATATGCATGGGATATTTCTAAAAAGAGATGAGTTTTGTTACAGTGATGTCCCTGGGAGCAAAAAGTGGAGAACTGCAAGGAGAGACAATAGTGGGAGAGAGATTTAAGTTTCTCTGTAGATCCAAAGGAATCTACAAATTACTGGAAACAATAAACCAATTTAGGAAGGTCATAGGACATAAGACCCATATATAAATTTTATTGTATTTTCATATATTAGCAACAAACAAAAACGAAACTAAAAAGCCCCACAATGGTATCAATAAAGCAACATATGCTTAGGAATAAATCTAGTGAAATTTATGCTGAGAGAATTTGAAAAATGCCTAAGAAATGCAAAAATATATCATGTTCATGGATCAGAAAACTCAAAATTGTTAAAATGTCTATTTTCCCTAAATTCATATATAGAATTAATGTAATCAGTATCAAAATTCCAGCAAATTACTTTTGAAAGACATGGACAATATTATTCTAAAATTATATGAAAATGAAAAGCATGTAGAATAATCAAACAATGTCAAAAAAGAAAAAGTTGGAGAAACTTGATTTTATTTTAATCTCTGAATTAAAAGATGCCTTCATGTTTTCTTTTCTTTTCATGTCACTTTTCTTCTCCTGCAAACATCCTAAACAAACATATGCCACTACAGTGCTTCCAGTAATGTTTAATAGTTAACATATGTTACAGACAGGTCTTTCATATATAACACATTTTTTCCTTATTAGCTTTGTGACATAGGTCAAAATAAATATATCATATTATGATGGAAAGCCATCAATTATTCAATGAATATGTGAAATGATGCCTGTTGTGTATATAAGTAGAAGTTTTTATATATTAAATATTTCACAAAATTAATAATTTAATGTATCTAGATATTTAACCAAATTGAAATTATATATTGTTTCTCTATTAATTGATGTTTTAGTTGTTATTTAGAAAATTAAATGTCATTTGTAAATTGGCCATGTGTTTTATTCAGCTCTGACCAGAAAATGGCTTGAAAAATTTACAACTTGAGGCTATAGAAATCAATATGTCATTAATTTAACAATATAATGAATAAATCCATTTTAGAACAAAATTAGGAAGAAGACTTTAGTTTGAGTTTTAAGAAATATTGGAAATATCAAAGTTTTGTTGTTTCTGCTAATGCTCCTTTGTAGTTACCACCCTCTTTATCTTCCAGTTCAGGAAATGTGATGATTACAAATAGTTGGGTAGCATGCAACAAAGTTTGTTACAGAAAAGTGGAGTCACAAAAACCTGGAGGCAAAAAGAACCAGGACAACAACGAAGTTGAGCTTCAATCATA